TGAAAGTGTGTCGTAGAGGTGTCTTTTGTCTTTCCGTGCACTTTTCGCCACTTCTTTGTCCAGTGTTAGTGTTTTATACACTGTACTCAGTTCCTCTTCTCGTTGAGCATCCTTCCACTGGTTCATCTTCTGCTTCACCATCCTCCTCCCGACTCTGTCAGCTTCCATGTGTCCGTTGAGATCCATTTCTAATCTTCTTTCTTCCTCCTTCCTAATAAGCTTATGTAGGCTTCTTTCCACATAGCTTTCAAAGACTTCCACTGATCACCCACACAGGTTTCTTCACGGATGTTCCTCGATATCTCCCATTTTGTCTTGATGGTTGACGTGAAGACTTTCTTTGTAGTTTAGTCCTTCAGTCTCTGGGTGTTGAACTTGAACTGTCGCCGTCTATCACCAACTTCCTTGAAGGTTTTCAACTTGATTTGGAAGGTTCCTTGCACTAGATAGTGGTCTGAGCCTACATCTGCGCTCCTCTTCTTGACCTTGTGTCAAGTAGGCTGACTGCGTCTCCACTTTCTTCACATTCAGATGGAGTCGATCTGAATTTCAGTGTAGTGTGTCCTGGTGTCTGGTGAAATCAAATGCATGTCGCTTTGTGGATATCCTTGTGCTTGAACACAGTGCCTCACTGCAATCACCAAGTTGTTGAATGCACAGAATTCTGCATTCTCGTTCATTTCACTGACCGCTTCTCGACCCATGGTTAGTTCTCTTCCTGTATTGTCCGATTCGAGTTTGGAATTAATGCTGCCCATTAGAATTTTGAAATCAAAGTCATCTAAACACTACCTATTGAGTCTTGAACTAGAATTTTAAAAAGGTTAAATGTTTCCGAAAAATATTGAACCATTTATATGGTTCCAGATAACTTTTAAAGAAAAATATAAAAACAGAGAGATCAAACAAAGAATCATCGAGCAAGCAAATTGATGATTGGTATCTCAAAAAGACAATGTATCATGATACTCGTCTCCTGAAAGTAAGAAAATTCTGAATTAAAGTTAATAGTTTGAAGAGGACAAGTTAATTACAAGAGAAAAACCCTAAAAATGATCAAACGATATGCGATCAGATAACCTTGTTGGCGATAACAATTTCAGAATAAGAAAAGAATACAGAAATCGTGGACGAAACATTTTGCCTTCCATGGCAAAGTCGACATCACTTTCAATCTCTTTGGCGGCCTGCTTAAAATATGGGCTATCAAAAAGTTCCCATCATATATTAGAACAAATTACTCCTTTTGAATTTGTTTTAATTATTCAACTTATCGTCAAATGTACCACGTGCATTCTCAAAGTGTCTGCAACTTATTATCACGCAAGTTAACAGCAAAACTGCAAAAAATGTCGTGGTAGATGGCGGTTGGCTTTTGAGTTCACAACAGTTCATTACACAGTATTATTGCTCGCGTTTGAAGCGATCGCTCCTGAGTCCGAACCTCGGTAGGAACAACATCATTCACTGAGAGGCAGGTACATCCAGCTGACGAGTCCCAAATAGGATGAAATGAGCATCGTGGATTCCACTGCTAGCCACTACCCATCATTACTATACATAGTTCATCATATAACTATTAGAGAGATGGTTAGCAGGAACTGCAAATTTTTATGCTGGCTGTATAATCCTCCACTACTACACCTATTGGTGCTTTTCTATTCATACCCCTGAGTAATAACATACCTACAAACTAGACGACAACCTAAAAAAAATTGGTTGTCGTGTATTATTGCCTATCGTACTGCTATTATGAACTTTCTTTAACTGCGATGGTTATTTAGTTGGAAAATACTGTACAAGGAGAAAATTTTTAACCATCACACTGAGAATTTCATATACTGCATTATTAAAAACTTGTACTATACCATCATTGACTGAACAGAATTGATCAGTCTCTATTGACATATGGGCTTCTGTGCGGATGCCTCGACATTGCGTGTTTTTAATCCTATAGTAATGATATAACTAAAACCACAGGCAATATCGAGGCATCCGCGCAGAAGTCCATATGCCAATACAGACCGACCAATTCGGTCCATTCAACGACGGTGTCATACAAGCAATAACACTAAAACTACACCTGTCGCACAAGAAGTGACCATCGTAGCTCAGTGGTCTAGTACCTAACGCTCTGGTGTTTGAAGCGATCGGTCCTGGGTTCGAATCCCAGTGGGAACAACATCACTCACTGTGCGGCAGGTACATCCAGATGATGAGTCCTAAATAGGGCAAAATGCGCGTCCTGGATTCCACTGATAGCCACTACCCATCATAACCGTACTAAAAACTATTATCTAGAATAAAGTGATTATTATTATTATTGAGATGACAAAAAAGATCAAAATACTGTTGTTAAAAAGGACAGCAGAACGTGTAATTCTTCCACTTCTTTTAACCTCGGTCCTGTGCCAAACACAGTGTTCAAACTTATTGAGTGTCTTATTTTAATACGTCAACTACAATTTCGGTACCTAAGCCTGAAGTAATTAGTAATGTTAACTCAGTTAAATAAAGGTTCTGTTTATTACTTGCTTTTTCTCTATTATAAATATTTTCCCTCAATTCTAGCTACTTTTCTTACCTGTTGAGCTGAAGTTATTTCGCTTTTTAGTATTCATTATGATTAGAGTTATTTCCATGATCTCAGTTAATTGAAGTATCCGTTTTGCAAATTAACTACCACATTTTCTACTGAATTAATTGACCTTTTTGGAAACTGTACACAAATAATTTGATAAGTTCATGTATGATCAGATTATTCGAAATGTATCATGTTTTAGATAATATTAATCTGTTAACCATAATGTTTTATTGATCAAGGAGATTGAGAGTTTAACGTTTGAAAACTATCCAGATCTTATCACTGCTTATTCTCTGTAGCTATGAAGAGCAGAATTTATTGGTAATTTATTGTGTAAAACTTGCCTTACATACGGTAGGTTCACACATAAACTGTCAAAAAAATTAGTAGCTATGGCTAAGTATAGACTAGTTGTGTTTCATTGAAATAAAGAATAGCGACAATGTATTAATGGTTCTCCAAAGACAGAAAGGTTTATTTAGAAAATAGATTGCAATTGTTACAAAGGATGAATCAGACTAAATCAAACCGTGCTTATGTATGTCGGCCACACACCTGTTAACGGTAACTTGGTTTTGGCCAATATTTTATGGATTAAAGGTTTTGCATAGACAGGATTTGTGATGGTATGGAGATAACTCTCGACTAGACGGCAAGTAAAACTTGATTACTTAGTCACACTCATATGCATATCTAGCTAGGAGTTTTAGGATTTTATTCAGATGTATAAATGTCTGCGTGATACTACAGTGAATTGTCTGCATTTTTGCCAACTGTCTGAATAAAAACTAAAATGTCCAGAACACCATGAGTAACTAACGACTTGGGAAAACGGAATTAGAACAAGATATGTATCAGCGAAGAAATATTTCTCTTCAATGACTTCATCATCAAGCTGTACAGTCGTATTTATACTCAGTAAAATAACAGATAATTGCACTAGAGAGTTGCTCACTCAATATACAAAGTATGCAATAGGTGTTGGTTGTGGTATTCCTTCAAGTGCTAAAAATATAAAACGGGTCACTGAATAAGGAACGAATTGATAACAAGTGGTGAGATAAGGGAGAAGTGCTTTCAAAGAAGTGGAAAATGATGATAATTTAACTGAACCACGCAAAATGACCCAATGAATAAGGAACAAACTGATATTAAGAAGTGAAATATGCGTCAAGTGCTGTCACTGAAGTGAAAAATGGAGATAATGATGATAATAAAAGAGAAGTAAACCAAAGTGAGGGCAAATGAAATTGTATTTACAAATTCACATGCTCCTGTGGAACTGACTATATATGGACCTTGTAAGCAGGCCCTCCGAAAACGCGTTGCTGAACATTGCCCGGTTTGGCTTACTAAGGCGAGCGAAGACAAACAACTTCATCCATATGTGAACACCTAGTAGACTTAGGTCATTCAGCTCTTCAAAATTCTTCCTTTAAAGTAATTTACAAAATTAAATTGAACTACTCCAAAAGTTTACGTTTCCACCACTTATGGATAGATGAAGCATTAGCTATACATGAACAAAAAGCCGAAACTTTGCATTCAGAAACGTTTTCTGAAACCACATTCTCTACCTTGTCCTTAGAAATTCATTTCGGTTATTTTGTCAATTTCATTTCACCTCACTTTGGTTTACTACTCTTTTATTATCATCATTATCTCCATTTTTCACTTCAGTGACAGCACTTGACGCATATTTCACTTCTTAATATCAGTTTGTTCCTTATTCATTGGGTCATTTTGCGTGGTTCAGTTAAATTATCATCATTTTCCACTTCTTTGAAAGCACTTCTCCCTTATCTCACCACTTGTTATCAATTCGTTCCTTATTCAGTGACCCGTTTTATATTTTAGCACTTGAAGGAATACCACAACCAACACCTATTGCATACTTTGTATATTGAGTGAGCAACTCTCTAGTGCAATTATCTGTTATTTTACTGAGTATAAATACGACTGTACAGCTTGATGATGAAGTCATTGAAGAGAAATATTTCTTCGCTGATACATATCTTGTTCTTATTCATGAATAAATGGGTATATTTCACCAATCAAAGCCGGAACTGTGGATCAAACAATCCACCAGAAAAATCGCAAACTAGATCTAGCAATGGAATCTTTAATCCGCGATACACCACGATGGCGCCAGCTGAAATAACTGGGATGGAATCGTAGATTAGGGTGGTAAGAACGTAAAAAATTAACGTAAAAGCTGAAGGTCAACTAGTATGGCTTCACACAAAAAAAAGTACGAACCGTCCTTAATTCAACGAGTCATGACGCAAGTCTCAGGCCAGAAGTATATCCCTCTGAAGCTACAACACTATTAAATAGTATAAAGCTAAAAAACGAAAGAGGGAGGCATTAAAATGCAACGGCAAAGTGATCCATGAACAAGGAGTACGTGTAGACAAACGCAAGTCTTGCGAACGATATAAGTAGTGTATGTTCATAAAAATCACATCAATTTTTTTTAACACATACGTAACTATCTGCCTGCTAACAAAGGTAACCCAAACAGACTATCCCCGGAAAATGACCGAATTCAGTATATTACGGTAAAACTACTGAAATTTAAGTTTTATGTACAAAATTTTCATCTCATCGTTCGTACAAAATTAATAATCTGATTTCAACTTAGCTTCAACAAGAGAAACAAGACGACGAGCAACTTCCGGATGCAGAAGACGAGCAATTCGGTTACGAACTTTGTTACCTGGAGGATTACCACTAATATCGGTCTCAAAATCCATCTGATATTCATCATCTTCGTCTTCATTTTGCTGATCAGCTACCCAACTGGCTTCACAAGCAGTAAGTACGCTTGTTTCCCATACCGGTATTCCATTTTGTGTTAGGGCTAAAATACAGTTACGTACTCGACAAACTGCAATGCGTTCAGCTAATAGTTCTTTTTGATTGATCATATTTAAATCTGCCTCAACTGGTGCTGCTAAACCAAGGCCTATATCCATAGCTCTTGCCGGACCTGTCCAAACATATCCATTACAGCCCAAGATAAGGCCAACAGAAATAACATCAGTAGACGATGATGTCAAAGAACCATCAAGTGCATTAACTCGTGGAACTGCCAGACGATGTCGATGAATCTTCTGACGTTTGATAAGACTAGGTGGAATATGCAATAGGCAACCACCTCCTAATTTACCAGTCCTAGTACCTGGCATATGGAGCTGTAATGTTCCATCTTTATAAACTTCATGAACTTCAGCGACAATGAGATCACCTTCCTGAAAATGAAAAGTTGTTAAAGAGATATTTAAAACAAGAAAGTATTTAATAGAACATATAAACTAAGAACTCATACGAGAAGGAAAATTGTCAGGAACTAGGAAATATCAGAGCTTCCTTTGTAACATGGGATTTTTAGCAATTTTTCCTGTCTATTTGAAGACCAAGTAAGCAACTTATTTTCCGGAGTGAGTTTATTACCACTAAGCTGTTAGGAGAGAATCTAACGACTGTCATTTCCCAATTCCAACCGAATTATATATTGTGAATATTCTACAATCCCTTTTGTATCTGTTCCCACTTCCAAACTTAATCAATTAACGTGTATAAATGGATTTTCTGTTCCTCAACTAGTGCTATTTTGTAAATCAACCCAACTTTGATTTCACTATGTACCTTAGAATTGCGGAATTTGTAGGAATAAATTCCGTAACTATCAGACACACATGGAATCCGAAAATAAAAACAAATATTGGGATACTCATAACAATGATTTACATTTTAAAAAGGAATATTGTGGATACTTAACTTCCCAAACTATTGAGTTAGAAATATATTATGTTGAAGATGTTTTGTTACAGCTTGTTAACTAAAATAATTCACATGAACTTTAGAAAGAACGAAATTTAAAATGACCTATTGAAGCCAAACTTCCACGATATTTAGTAGTACAAACACACTATAACGGAAAATATTACTACAAGTAACAACTATAAACAAAACTTGTCAATTAATTTACAGTACAAACAGAAAGCCTACAAAATCATCTCAGATAAGCTTCTTAAAAATTATCTATAGTAAAATGAACACGACGTTAAGTCTGACATGAACCTCAGTATATACTTCTAATAGTGTACGAAAGTTAGGACAAGAATAATTTGAGCAAACATTGTTTTCAATAACTTCTTTTTCAGGCTCTATTTGGTAGCCAAAGTAAAGCATAATGTGAAATTGTTTCAATATCGTAACAGTCAGTGTTATGGTCGGATGAAGATCAAATCAAATTTAATTTTTTATCAGGTGGAATAGTATTGAGTCTAGTGTGTTAGTTGTGAAATAAAATCAGTATAGACAAAAGGATTACGAAATAAGAATCCAAGATCTAGAGATAATGATTCATTTCTATACATCTATCCGGAGCGTGGTGGCATGTATGTGTATGTGTGTGCGTTTACTAAGCATCAAATAATCATTATGCAGCGATATAAAAGAAGCCTAGTTAAATGTCTGAATCACAGAATAAGAAATATATGTTCTGTATTGACGAAGAAACGGATAAGCTGAAGATAGCACTACAGCAAAATGTTTATCCACTGAACTTCACAAATAAATACATGTTGAGACCCAGAAAGATGATAAAGGATAACGTTGCTAGGGAAAACTCTACACTGATGTGGTGATCGGGCTTGCGAATAAGGAAGATCCGAGAAACTACATTGGCCGAGACGCTTGATTTTTGAGTTCGTACCACCCCAGAGAGGTCTACTGCGTAGTGACGGGACAAGAAGCAGTTACCGTTATGTTGTAAATTGCTACATTATGATGGGAGTTCGAAGGCGAAGTTAGATTGCTAGTTCAACAGGGCGACATAAGGCGTTTACCGCGGATGACCAGTAGTCTACGGGAAGTGAGAGGGTTGGAAAATGTCGGCCCAAAATGGTGCAATCCCTTCTGCCAGGCGGGATAGGTTTTACTTGCCTGCTGTTAGAACGATCAAATCTCAAAATCTTAGAAAGACTGTACATGACGGGCCTCAAGCAGATGTCCAATGTTGGTCTTCGGTAACGCAGATCTTCCTCTTTTTCCTCTTTAAGGTACTCTGCAGAAACAAATACTATAGTTTGAATAGCCTTAAAATAAAAAAACACACAATCTTCCATTAGTGAACAAAATCTAGGCAAACATAACTCATCCTCCTTATTTTTGTCTCCCAGCTTGATTTCACTTCTTGATGCCACTATAGAGCCTCCTATAACTTCCTAACCCCTCATCCTGCAACTACTTTCAACAATTTAAGCCAGCAAAGCACAATTTCTAGTCTCTTAAAACTCTGCTACCGATCGCAAAAAGGAGCTTTCAACTTCCGAAACTAATGCAAAGCCGGAAAGCAGGCCTCTGTTGCCACAACTCCAGAATATCCTGCCGTGGGTATGTCTTTTATTTATTAAACACGTATACAAGAGCCGACTGTGGCTATTCACTTGAACTCATAAGGCCAATGCTGTGAATCTTTGAAAATCACATTGGGAGTGGAAGGAGACTCAATGGTTGATCTTCGTAAACTATCTGGCCTAAGTATGGCATTAGGTTCTCAAGTGGGAAGCACGATTCTCGACTGGCTACCATCAGTCGACAGTCATCGACGTGTTGTCCGACTGTAAATTGATCTGTATGAACTGAGAAGGGTAGTGAGACTTGCCAATGGTTATTCATAATCTCCACCTATCCACCCACTAACTGCAGTTCGAATGATACAATGATGAAATCGATCAAAAAATGTCAATTCTGCTACAATAAGCATATAGTTTAGATATATTTACTATAGCAGGTGACTCCAACACTCAAATGGAGTTGAGGTAACCGAAAGGGCATATTGGAGGTATCTACGGAATCCCATGCCAGCGAACTGATAACGTTGATCATCTCTCGCAATCTGTTTTGACAGTCACTTGTTCCTGGTCATCAATGACTTCAAGTATGACGATTACTGCTGTTTCTAGAGTACCTGTTTGAACTTCAATATGCGTTACTACGGGCATCGGTATATTTGCACCGTACTATTCGCAGAAAACAGGGAGCAGTGAAGCCATTTTAGGCTCGACGGAACATGAGAACATCAAATACGCACGTAGGGAGGAAACAGACAGCATTTATCTCAACGTGAAAGTAATTCTCATCCCGAAAGAGCTGGCACAATACTCAGTCAGCTATGGAAGCAGCAGTAAAGATAGTTGGTAACCTACATCAAAAGGTTGGCAGAGCTTAGTGGATCCCTTTAACGTCATCCAAACTGGCTGGTGTGAAGACTCATTACAGTCGGCTCTCAGCAAAATGAGGAGAAAAAGCAGCTGAAACAGGAATTGGCTAAGAGTCTGCGCAACGATCACGAACAGTGATGGATAACAGAAGAGATGGAGAAGGCATCAGAATTAGGTAATAACTGGAAATCATTTAGGCTCATTAAGGATACTGGCAAGATGATGACTAGTGAAGCTATCACAGACAATGATGGGACTCCGATAACCTCTCAGGAAAGGCGGCTACACCGTTGGGCGAAACACTTTAACTGGTCCAAAGCAAAGCTTCAACTGCGCAGCACCAGCCCAAACCTGAATGAGATGAATATGTCGGTTCTCCGACTCTCCTAAAAGTTGAGAAGGTTGTTTTAAACCTAGAAGGATGCAAGAAATATGACTTGATGGCTTGCCACCAGTGCTTTTTAGGGAGGGAGGATATTACTGAGTGAAGTAACAGAGAAACTTGACAGTGTTAGGGAATCAGAGGTGGTCTCGTAAGGCTAGTTCAGATCCCTGATTATTCCAGCTTATAAGAAATGAGAGTTTTCTCGTGACAACCATAGGTGGATGAGTTTAACCAAAACCTTGTCTAAATACAAAGACTCAGTTATTTGACGACTAAGTAGAGATTGACAACTGCAAAGTCGAGAAAACTAGGCAGGTTTCAGATCTAGAAGACGGTGCATCAATCACACCACTATTCAACAGGGTTTAGAACGCAGGCATACTTATCAGCGACCGACACTTGCCATATCTCTTGATCTGGACGTGGAATTCGACTTTGTCGATAGTGAGGTGTTGCAGTAGTGTCTGACTATGAAGGGAGTACCGAGAAAGTATGAAGCGCTGACTAAAGTTCTCTACTCAAACTCACGTAGGCGTGTAAGAGCTTATGGAGATTTGTCATCTGAATTGACGAAAACCCAACGGTGTCCGTCAGGAATACCCGCTATCACAGTTCCTGTTTAACTGGGTCATACATATATTAATGGAAATAACCCTAGGTAATTCTGATTTTACGTTTGTGGAGGGACCAACTCGTTGACATGCAGTAGGCAGACATTGTCCTGTGAGGTGAGGACGTTGATAAAATATAAGATCTTCCGAATGCTTCAGAAGAAATCTGAGGGCTTGACATGTGTTTCGCACCTGTCATATTTAAGACGATGCGTCAGGACTGGTCTGCAGTCGCTCACAGTTTGAGAATAGGCAAAAGCCCAGAAGGACCGATAGCTGACGAAAGCCCGGCTCAGACACAAAAAGCTCGTCTAGGATTTGTCAACTTCGGTGCCAATTGATGAGATATCGCACTACCCATCAAAGGAGCAGTATACTACTTTGAAGCTCACTCTGTCCTATCGTACGATTGTGAGGCATGGTCAGTGAATATAGATATGAAGGGCTCACATGTTTCTGAACACACATGTCTCCATCCCATCGATCACCCGCGGTAGAATCAGTGTGAACAATGTCGATGTTCGGTGAAGGGTACTGGATATTCTTTGCACATACCGAGCCACCACCTACCTCAACGTTTAATGTTAGCTGAGGTAGGATTGGGTTGAAAGGAGGCTAATAATGGTAGGACTGAAAGGTGGCACCTGTCCATGAAGTCCCTGAGTGTTGGTCTGATCCATGGAAGGAGGTGTCGATTGCTTGACTGGGTTCCTCGATATACTAGGAATGAATGGTTGGAAACTCCTAGTGACATTACTGAAAATCGGTTACAGTGGTGCAGATGTAATCACTCCTGTATATCTTCGAACATTTCAACTAGCCTTGACTTTCAAATCTCTTCACTCTCACACACCTTTCTGTAATTTCATACCACTCTTTCTCTACCTGCTTGTATTTGTCTGGAACTGTGAAGTGTGGCAATGACCTAAACTGGTGCACTTGTGTGCTAGGTTCTGCGTTGATTTTGTTTGTCTGCCCCTGAGTTGTAGACTTGATGGAGAATATTCATGTAACACAAAATAAGTCAGTTTTACGTAGATACTGGTTCATATATACACTACTCAACAATGCTGAACGATTGATGACTTCCAACATTATTATTATTATTATTATTATTATTATTATTATTATTATTATCATGGCAAGAACTTCATCATGAGCGCCAAGAGATACAAAAGAATAAAGCAATAATATGGAGGCACATGAAACAAGAGAGAGAATGAAAACATAAAGAGAAGTGATTTTTTAAAACAGCAACCTCAAATATAGCTTTAAGGTACCACTTAGTATTTAGATCTTTTTTTCAGTACTAAAAAAAACTGCAGCATGATAATCACTGGTTTCGATTGTGAGCCCTGTGACCTAAAGGGGTGTATGCCACTCTGCCTTTCGATATGCGGTTAGAAGTCTCAGTAGTCACACCTCTATGATCAATGGCACAACTACTCACACACATAAACTTTTCGAGAACTTCCAGTGATCTTTAGAATGTCATCGACTGCACAGTAAAAAAGGAGAGGCGATTTTGGGTAGTCAAGCTTAATTTTACTATTGGTTAAGAGAAATAGAGATGGGTGACTGAATGGCTTCACTCTACCTGAGGTATTGAAGTATAGGGCTCTAAAGGTGATAACCAACTTCTAAGATACCTTTTCCGAACAGACAGTTCTAGAGTAAAATCTTGTCCAAGGAATAGAAGACAGACCAATTATCGAGGAACAACGATTGTTGACCTGCAATACGATCTGAACGAAACCTGGTCTCGTTCTTGCAGATAGGATCAACACGCAATTAACCTGGGAAGCGTGATTGCAACCAACATATAAGACGCCACCGGTAGCAGGCACTGTAAAGTGCAGTATATTAGGATGGGTTTGTTTATTTTATTAGAGATCTGAAAAACAAGTGAAATTGTGACTAGCACATAAGTTGTCGATCTTCTATATTTGTTACTACAAAATTTAAATAAATCCCATACCTTCATGAAAGACCGCATAGCGCGTTCATCATCTTCGGATTTTCGACGAAGTTCACCACCAGGTAGTTTCACATTAGCCAAAGCTAAGTTGGCCAAGAGAGAAGAATTGACATCAACACGCCAACGACGTTGCTCAACCTTAAATGAAGACAAGATAGTTCAAATAACATATTTCAAGAGTATACACCTTGACTGATAAAATCAAGATACTGTTCTGGCATAAGAATTACCTTGCTTATTATCTCCGATTTCTTTCTAACAAAGATTAGTGTAGAACTGTGCCTCATTGGTGAAAATTATCAACTCATAACTAGTGAACCACCCAACTTCACCTAGTGACCTTTGGGCAACCAGTTAGCATCAGTGTTTGCATGATAGGTAAGGTTCACTGCTACCCAAAGTACTACCTCATGCAATAAAACATTAATCTTCACCCAATAGAGATTCCTTACCAAAGTTAGTACACAGAACAACAAGAAAGTTGGAATATAGTTTAGTAATTTGAGCTGTCAATAAAAAAGTCGGAATGCACTCAACAAATATGTACAATTTCGTCAAAGTTATAGCTTGAAGACTAATGTTGCTACCTGGCTGCCCAGACCTCGGTAGGTGAAGCCGGGTTCGATTCTTTGATTTATTGGTTGGCAGTCAAGTGCCTGCACAAATCAGTCACAGATTGAACTTTTACACTTCTCACCGATCACAAAAACTGCAATGAACCAGAATATCAGTAAAATCAAGCAAACTCAAGTAGAACACCAGAATGTTCAAGGTTTTTGAGAAATGAGGTGTGGCAGTATTAACGATTTTAAGTTGTTTACTGAGATAATGTAATACTCTTTAACATGGTTCAGTTTGACTTGATGATTTTATCCACTCTATAGCCTTTTTACAACTCACTTTTAGGAGTCACTATTACACTCCAGAATAGGTGGCGAGTTAGTTTAACATATCTTATCTTAGTCGGATCATATTTGAAAACTTGTCGACTGTCATACGCTTTTTGCCTAATGCCCTACAATCAACCTTAAAAGTGCAGTCTAATCGAAAAAGATTGATGGGAGTTGGATAAAATCAAAAGAACAGAATATTAATTTTAGAAGAATGTGAACAAATAAATTATTTGATCTACTAAAAAAGCAAACGCCATTTCGCCTGACTTAGTCCACTTAAGGATCTATTTTATCTGAAGCGGCTGTTCAGTCATCAGAGCTCGACAACAACACTCCTGCCGACGTGCCCCGGTTGTGTTTTCGCATTTAACGGAAGTCAATAGAATTTGAAATGTGGCATGAAAAATGGATACACAACAACTGTATGTAACGACTAGCAATAACAACATTCAGCCCAAAAAAACCAAAACCTAAGGAATGATTGCCAGCAAAGATTACGTGAATACTTATGAACGTTGATAATCATGCAGCTTAAATTTATAAACTGATGTGACAGTATCGTTGGAGACAACAATTAGGTGAAACATTCAGGAGCAATTTGATTGACTTCTACCAACCTTCTACTTAGAAGACACATACAAAATGTGATATGAACGATTTTAGTATCATACTAGCATTTGTACAGTAAAAGCCTATTCAAAGTATGACAGAATGACATATCCAGATACAGTCAATTTTTAATGAAAACGGTTTAACAGCAGTAGCTAAATCTAATATGATTTTAATGTACAAATATTTAGGCTATGATCAATTCTATCTGATATAACTTAGTCAGCAACTGTTTTTTCTGAGGGTGAAAGTGTCACTATAAGTTATATTTATGAGCAGGTAGCTCTCAAACAGTTTTTACAATCCTAGAAGTGACGACCTATTGGTCTCTTATCCCACCTTGAAAACAAGAAACTCATGTTTTCGTACATGATGTAAAGAATGCCAATCAAACCGACAACAGACTGGGGAACACAGTACTATCTACCAGTGCTATCCTTCAGTTCAGCGGTAGTATTTGATAACGCTAAACAACAAGACTTGCAGTCATAGACCACTATAAGTCATTTGGAATTGTCACTTGTTTGAAATCTCAGTCTTTAGGGTTTGGGGACAAATTTTACATAAGTCATGCATCGATGAAGCTCGCTACGAATATCTGCCAGGATGATTTTACCTGTTTCTAGTTACCCATTGGCAGAAACTTTGTGAACTTTGGCCTAGCAATCTTTCAGTTTACTTGGGAAGAAAAACATAGTTCCTTCAAACTGAACGCTACTGAAGTGCAATCTTGACCGGAAGTATAAAGGTATGCATCTAGTTAAACTAGCATTAATAGTTAGTGGTCCTACTGAACTTTCACATGCATAAAAACAGAATGACTGCATCTGACGCTGTTTTGGAACCTTTTATCGAACGAGCGATTTCCAAATATCTTATAATTTTCACCTTGGAACAGCCTTTAGATATCTTTAATAAGTTAGAAATGATGACAGACAACCTCTTGGATCGAACCGAAGTGGCGGATGGAAGTGGCTCTACAGCGTACAACAGGTCATATCTCTTTTTGACCACGGAAGGTATTGTGCTGCACAAGTCCACATAACTTATTCTCCAGTATGGCGAACGGGAAATGATAGCTGCGTAAACGTAAGCCTAAGATTGTGTCGATCTCCTATTGTAGCTACCTAAGAGGGAAAACGCCAATAAATTTTCAGTTTCAGGGACAGCTTGACAACAAGGTACCCTAAATATAAGCAGATCACAAAGTTAAATTTTTCCAATGCGTTTCTTTATAAATGAGACTGAGCTTGAACATAAGACTTTTGTATCTTTGGGTACGTTGATAAAGAGCTACAAACCCACCCTTCATACTTGTTACAACAGCAGTCCTCTCAAACTATTTCTCTTCAAGCATCACATACACATACTTGAATTTCAAGATTTAGTCCTAAAAATATCAAGGACTCGAGATGGCGGTTGTCAGTGGGTTTGAGGGTGGGGAGTTGTTTGACAATACTCCATTATTAAAACAGAGTGAGTGTTCGTTGGCTTAAGATTGTCATCGCCTAGTTACAATCCATAGGAGTGGCTCATTGTAAAATATGCAGTTCATACAAAACATCAGTTTTATGCTTTACAGAGGTCATGGATCCAAATGCTGTTAATCTGTTAGTCATAACCAAACAAGTTGGTAATTTGAACCTGGAATATGCAGTTCACGTTCTCAGATTGACAAACATAACACAGAAATACAGGGAAATGAATGGTGCGGTAGGTAAGTTCTCTCAAAAGTTAGGTAATTAGTTTCTAGCCAAATGTATTCGGCATCTTACATACTTGGTCGAAACAGTATAGGGCATACTGAAATTCTATGGTATGAGACATCATGAGCGTGCTTTGAAATCATGAAGTGAATTTTCTCACGCTTTTGACATATTTGGCTTTTCTTGTGTAATCCACACCAAAGGCTTTATTATAGACCTTGAACTAAAGTAATTCAGTCAGCATTTAGAGTTTTATCATTTTGAGGCTTGAGGTTGGTTTTTGTGTTATCGCTTTTATTGTGTTATTGCAACTTAAGTCTTTCTGTTCCAATTTTGACTGATTACTTCAGTTGAAGTATGGTTCTAGTGGGAACTTCAACTGAATCTTGAATAACAGGGTTAGTGATAATCATCTTTGCGGTCGACCTAGCTGCAAATTTCCAGTCAACGATGGTATGCAATGTGATGTCAATTCCACAAAGTTCGTATCGGATTGACACGAACAATATACAAGGTGTTGCAGTTAACCAGCCTCTCTTTGATTTTGTAACCTCTGTTAATATAGGCATTGTGGTAGAAATTAATTCCATAATAGATTTGTTTATTTGATTTATAACACACAGTGATCTAGTATTATTTACTCGATGACGTTTCGAGCATAAATTATTACTCATAATCATATCGCATTGATATGATTGTGAGTTCACCGAAAGACTGTATCTCTGTTAGCAAGTTTGACGCTATGAAGGTGACCAATGAATTCAATTGGAGTTATCTAAGAAAGAATTCGAATAAACTTTCAAAGGTTATCACTGAAGCTATTAAGGTTATGAAACCTGTTCAGAAAGCTTCGAAGACCATCCACGGATTTCCCACCAACGTCTAGTGTGAGCTTCTGGAATGTTGAGGAGTCAATGAACAAATACCCTTCAATACGTCATACGTATGATCTGAAGCCGGTCGAGTCGACCATCAGACATGTCCTATAGGAAACGTCCAAAGGAGTACACATCACCAAAGTACTCAGGTTAGGTAAAAGAAAGGATGACAACCCCGAAGAAAGGAGAATTTTGAAAGTTGTTCTAGGCAACAAAGATGAAGTGGATGTACTCTTGAGTAACACACTCAAACTACGAAATTTAAACATTCGCATCCGACCAGACTGGCCTTTCGAGAACTGGACAAAAAGAAGAGGAGCGACCACTTCGATAAATTAATGGAGAAAATCTTTAAATTGTGGGTTTTGGGGCTGTGAGGTCTTGAAAACGAATGCCCTCAAGGCCTATATGGGTGGGTCATGGGACTTGTCAAACATTGTGAAAGTAACCCAAACCAATGTTCGTAGCATTAGAAATAAAATGATAGACCTCAAGAATGTAGTCTATGAACTTATTCCTGATGTAGCGGCTGTTACTTAAGTCTAGCTAATAAAGGATTTAGATTTAACGCCACTTTTAACAGCGCATCACTATGTTAAGACAGATAGGGTTGTGGGTCGCAATGATGGCGCCATAGTACTCTATGTTCGTGGTGACATCCACGTACGATCAGTCACTTTAAAAGCATATGAGTGCGGTACCTGGGAAGTGGCCAGCTGTGAGCTGAAGTCAAAGAAAGGTTTCTGTACTATTGGGTTAATTTACCGTAGTCCATCTTGCCTTGCAATGGCTTCGTGATAACTCATATACTTAACTGGAGTAATTGCAAGAGATGCCTAATAGGTGGGCCTCTGAACACTCCACACATAAACTGGATGGAGCAAACAGTCTCAGCCTCGGTCAGTTCCTTCGAAAATGATCTACTTTAAACGGCACTAGAATTTACTTTAGTTCGAAACGTAACTTGTGCAACACGATACGATTCTGAACACAAGCCATCGTTATTAGATTCGGTTTTAACCCACCAAAGTGAAGATATTGTGGATCTGCGATACTTCTGTGTTAGCTAGCAACGATCATGTACTGCTAATTTTCGGTTTCAGAACGTATGCGTTTGATTACAATACTGCTCCCCCTAGACCTAATGTGCGGCGTGCAGACGTTTCAAGTATAAGGGCTGTGCAGTCGGTAACGATTGGACTATCGGTAAAGACTCATCAATAGAGAACGTATGAATAGGTTTAAAATTCTATTCGAAGAAGCAGAGACGCCACTTACTCAATGGTCGACTCCACGAAGATCCGTACATTGCCCTCGATGGTTTGATAAAGACACTCAAAAACTATTAAGGTGGAGGAAACATTTATAGAATTCGCTTATAGGAAGTGGATTGGAAACATTTAAAACTGAGTACTGTAAAGACCATAGTCTGTGCAAAACTTTTATTGCACAGTCTCAATGTCTTATGAGGAACAGCTTGTGAATGAATGCCAAAATTCACTTAAAAGACTGTTCACGTTCATTAGAAGAAAAACTAGAAGGAAATATGGAATTCCCCTTATGGCAATGGACAAAATGTCAGATTGTATGACGGAATTTAATCTGTCCACAGCTGAATGCCTTTAGAATGGCTTCAGAGAAGTCTCTGTAGATCTTGGTAGTAAAGTGGTCAATATTGATGTCAGCACTGCCCTACCAATAGATAAAGTGTTCATAACAAAGGAAAGTCTTACAGTTGCTCATAAATCTTAAACACTCCGGATTATCTTTGATGGCGGACATTATTACTGACCCAATTACTGATATTTTCAATATATTCTTATCTCAGACTCGCTGCCCTAGAGACTGGAAAGATGCTACAATCAGCCCAGTTTTTAAGGCCATTAGTAGCCAGTTGGTGGCTAACTCTCGCCCCGTAAGTCTAACTAGCATAGTTATTAGGCTTTTAAAAAACTATTCGTTGAATCAAATAACCTTTTAGCACCACAACAGGACGGTTTTCGTATTGGATACTCCTGTTTGGCAAACTTCATTGCGAAAGAGGAATAGGTTTCAACCTGTGGTTGAAAGCTGACAATGGATGCCGTGTTCATAGACTTTAGTAAGGCATTCGATAAAGTGTTTGACGTAAAATTACTAGGAAACCTCTCCTTTTTCGAGAGTGGTGCTTCACTGAAAGCTTGGATTAAACTTTTTATACAAAGGAAGGCAAAGAGTGAGGGGAAATAAGACATTTCAGGTGAAAATCTGTGATGAGTGGAATTTCTTAAGGTCCCCTACTTCTCTTGTTATATGTTAACGAATTACCGCAAATTCCCAACTCTTCGGTGCGGTTATCCCCGATGATGTAAACGTTTGGAGAGTCATGGGTAGTGATGCTGATAGGCATGCACTTTAAGCGGATTTGGATGAACAGGTAGGATGGTCCAAACGTTGGTGTTCGAAGATCAACTCTAATAAAAGTGCAATAACGTACATTGGTCACAGAAATTGTTTACGGCATACCATTAATGGCACACCACTACTCGCAGTCTTTGAACTGGAAGACTTAAGTGTCACAAGAAGCTATGACTTGGAACCTTAGGCACACTAATGCAGCTGTAGCAAAGGGCTCGCGTGTATTATGGTCCATCTGTGGACCTTGCAAATATTTTGAGCAGGATATGTTCAGGGTTCACTACTTTACATCAGGCCTCACATGGAATACTGTATTCAGACGACCAGTCTATGCCTAAAAAAGGATGCTCATGCGCTTGAGCGTGTTCAAATGGTAGGTATTAAGCTTTTGTCAGGCCATTTGAATCTCCCCGATGGGGAACGAAATCGTTCCTGTCGCTCGTCTCACTGAGAGAAACAAGGTGACTCCATAATAACATTCCGTATTCTTAATAATGACTTAGGTACTGATACGTTCCATCTTTTCTCTCCTGCTAGAATTGATTGTCTCCGAGGGCATCACAAGAAAATCCTAAATCCGCGATCGAATCAACTTAGCATGAATCTACGTTTCTCCTATCGTGTGGTCAACGACTGGAAGTTTTTACCTCAACAAGTAGTGTCAGAATCTTTGGTTAACGTATTCACGGAGAAACCAGTTCATTACAGAATTATATTCTGCAAGGATTAACACAGACCCACTGGTCTACTATCTTTACTACTAAGAACTTAAGCCCACACAGAAAAATAGGGTTATTCCTCCTAACTTTATCTGGAAATTTCAGACGAAGCCCACCGGAAAATCGTGAAAAACAAAACTTAAAGTATTAGGAGTGTATAAGCTGGTTAATACATAGGAGAGATTAAATTCTCCACAAAATATCTTAATCAAAACAAATACAACAAATGAACGACAGTAGCATTGTCTCATGTACATTAAGTGGAAAATATTTAGACACTAAAGGTTTTTTTTAGCTCCTTGTGACGAGTTACAGAAAATAATGCTATGATTGATCACAAGATATGAGAAGCAACAAGTTTAAGCACTTACAAGTCTACACTACCGACTCCAGTGTTTAATTTATAAAACTGCTCGTTGGTAATTACTCAAGTTTTTTAAACATAGACCACTCACCTCTACAATGCGGCCAACTACTGTATCTCCAACATTGCCAAAATATCGAGCTTTCGGTGGCTCAACATACACAAGTTTGTTAACTATTCTCACACGTCCAGTAAGGGAAGTGTGTATATTGCTTACATGGGTGCCTGAGCCTCCTTTAAGCAAAGGGTCGGTGTGTGAGTGAATAACTGAAGCCAAATTCGCACCAGCACTACCATCTACTGTATCAGATGATACATCTGCACTACGATACGTCCCATGGCCAGTAATCAGGTTTGCAGCTGAAGAGAAAACTATCTCTCCTGGAACAACAGCAGAACCCTGTTGGACACCTGATGGTCCCTCCGGGTGACCCTGTGAAACATAGTCAATAGAATGCCGATCAGGTGCAGCAACTGCAGGATACATGTATATTGGCATTTTATGACGTTCTATATTGTTAATGAGTAAGTGTTTACGTCTTCTTTAGATTCACTGTGACGACTAACTGTTGATAGGTTTTTGTCCAGCCTGTAAGTAGGTACTTTGTTGCAGGGGACGAGTAGAGGAGTGTGAGTTTAGTGGTGACCACAAGAAACTGCAAAGGAAAGGGAAAAAACGTTAGCTGATGACTCGCCAAGTACATAGTTTGTATCTACATTTAATAAGAAACAACAACTAACAAACTGTAGGGCTTGATAACGAAGAGACAGGGCAGTATAAAAGCCGAAACTAAAAAGCGGATGAGCAAGGTTTCGAATGCGCCACACAACTTGAGTAGCACAAAGCTTGTCCTTCCGCTTTTAATGACCTTAAAGTTCAAAGCTTGAAGCCAATGTAAAGTCCAAAAATAAACCAATAGTGTGAGTGTAGGGAAATGTTAGTTTCTTGGCTCCAGTATCTACTTATTGGAGATCAGTTATTGCTGTTTTAGGCTTTTTTATCATGGTAAATAGCTTGGCTCCTTCAATATCCAATATTTTTTAACGAGCTAGTGTAAACCAATTGATTTTTTCGCGCTTGCTTCTAGGTCTTGCGGAACGGTTCCAGGTTTTTGGTGGGTTCCAATGCAGTATGTCTACCCATTCTACTGCTGTAGCTCTAATTAGCCCGACGGGCAGTTGGGTGTTGTTTAGATTCGTCGGGAGTGTTGCTTGTTTGTTTGCTTTTTCTTCCGAGGACTGTGGTGCAGATGGGTTCCTCCAATGTCGTGCCAGCAGACAATTGTTCGGACTGGTTGTAGAAAGGAGATGAAAAATGTGTGCAGAGAAATCGAGGGACAGAAAGTGCAGAGAGAGACGAAATAGAAAAAAGAAGAAGAATAATACATATTAAAAAAAGATTAGGAAAAAGGAAACAGCACGGAAGAATAAACATGGGTAGGTTCATGGGGAATAGGTGATGAAGAGAGCTTTCGTTATAGCTCGAGAACGTAAAGTCATAAGTAAGAAGAATAGATAACATAGGACGAATGGGAATATAGTAATTCTCTTAGTAGAGGACGGTAACTGCAGAGGACGTCTACATGAAGGTATAAGATTAAGCCAAGTTCTCAGTGATAGTGGTTTTACGAAGCGTTTAGCAACGGTTGGTCGTATCGAGTTATTAAGTGGTGCTAGCCTAGTCCACATCCCAGTTCGATGAGCGCAAGTAGTGCGTCGCTGCTTAACTGTCCAACCTCCTCTTGAAGCTGTCAACAAGCGGAGCAGTAGCAATCTCAACAGGCAATGAGTTCCAGTGGCTGCAGACCCACAGACAGAAGTGTGGTCGCATGCAGGTTTTCGCTGTTTGGTGAGCTATCCTCCTCGGGTTACCACGAGGAGAGCCATAGTGACCGTTCGGTAGGATTCTACTGTTCGGACGACTTGGGTTACTGAGTATTTTGTAAGCCGTCATCAAGTCACCACATAATTTGCGGTAGCTCAGGGAGAAGAGCCCAGATCTTTCAGCCTTTCCCGATATAGTTTTTGTCTCATACCCAAGACACCCTTTGTAGCTCGCCTTTGGACTTTCTCCAGGAGGTCCACGTCTTTTCAGATATGGTGGTGCAATGACGTTGTGTACTTCTAGGTGGGGTTGTATATAGGTCTTATGCAGCTTCAACAAGAGTTCCAGGGTCAGGGCACCCAGTTGTCTGCGCATGAAGTGCAGTACCGCGTAGGCTGTGGTGGATAATTGGGGCTGGTGTCTAGTTTGTCAGTTAGTATTAGTCCTAGGTCTTTCTCTGTGGTGGTATGGCAGAGTTGTGTTCCACAGAGAGAACAGGGTACCTTCTGAGAGTCTGGGGTGCGGAAAAATATGGCTCGGCATTTATCTAGGTTAAATGCGAGTCCGTTAGTGTCCACCCACTCCGCAAGTAATCTGTGATCACTTTGCAGTGCACTTGATTCTGTTTCCGACGTTACAGCTCTCTATAGCTTAACATCATCAGCGTAGAGTAGAATTGGGGGGCTGAGATTCAGTGGAAGGTCGTTCACAGAAAGAAGGAATAGCAGCGGACCCAGAGTCGCCCCTTGTGATACACCGGATGATAATGTCTTCGAAATCGAGCAAACTCTGTTGGCTTTTGTACAGAATTGTCTACCGTCTAGATAGTCCTGCAACCATGAAAGCACTTGTCCCTTGATGCCCAACCTTTCTATTTTGTGAATAAGAACGGTGTGTGGAACTGTGTCGAAGGCCTTAGTAAAATCCAGGAAAATAACGTGGACAGGAATGTGGAGGTCCCAGCATGCCGTCCACTTATCACCTGCCACCTGAATGTTTGTGGCACAAGACCTACCCCTTCTGAAACCATGTTGTGCATCACTAAGCGCTCCCCTCTTATCTAAGTACTCCCTGAGATGGTCTTCTACCATAACCTTCATTACTTTTGACACAACTAGTAGGAGGGCTATGGGTCGGTAGCATTTTGGGTTCTGCCTGTCTCCACCTTTGAAGATGGGGGACGGAATAGCACTTTTCCACTCTTGTGGAAGTATGTGATTGTCCAGGGAGTGTTGAAACAGGTTACACAGCCGACCGCACAAGGCACCCACGCATTGTTTCAGCACAGCCGGTTGGATGTCATCACACCCTTGTGATTTCCCTGGGCGAGGCTTTGACGGTTTTTCGAGGACCATGGCAGGAGTTACCTTTATTCCAGGTGACTCTACTACGTTTGGTGGTGCTGAATTTCGGTCAGACAGTCGGTAATTTTGGTTTGATAGGGACGTATTGAGTTGCGTATCGAAGGTGGCGCTGAAGGCTTCGGCGATCTCCAGTCCAGAGATGTTCTCTCCGTTTAGGCCTTTCAGGACGCAGCCCCCTGGCTGCGAAGCATTAAAGTCGCCGGCTATAATGACCTGGCCATATCCGATGGACGTCGCCCGGGACATACTTGCAGCAGTTGTCGGTTATCTTCCACGCTGCCAGTAGGTGTTCTGTAGATGCCTCCTACCAGGCACTTGGTGTGTTTAACCTTAAATTGACACCAGATGGAGTCTGGGAGCCTTGAAAGTAGGGTTTCAGTTGCTCGTTCGCTTTTAAGGCTATCACTTATAATAATCACCAATCCGCCTCCTTCCTTAAACTCCCTGTCTCTCCTGAACAGACGCATACCGTCTACACTAGTTTCGACGTCAGGATTAAGATCATTGGAGCAGGGTAGGAACAGAGAAATTATAATTCCTTCATTTTACTTCTAAGTCCCCTTACATTACTGTAAAGACACTTGGCTATGTTTCTAACGCCAAAAGGTATCTTGGTGCTGGCAGACCGCAGGGAGTCGTGCGTAATTGGCGAAACTTGCCATGGAACGGCCATCTCCAGTGGAACCGGCCCAATCACGTTTTTTCCCTCAATGGTTTCTGGGGGTTTCACAGAGTCCAGGCTTGATTGTGCATCTTGTCTGTTGGCAGTGACGGTGGCTTCGGCGGTGGGCGGTGCCGCCATTTGCTGTTGTCTGAGTGTCCTGGGCCTGCCCTCACAGCAGCGGACATTCCCACTGATGTTACCTTTTACTGTATACCAAGTTTGCAGTATACCGGTTGAACGTTCTTGATAGCCGAAGCTAACAGCCATCAACCGGGGTGCTGTTATCGTCGTCAAATGTGAGGGAGGTGGCAGACTGCGACCGCCGCCGCTACTATCCCATTTAACCCCATCCTCGCTGACAACCACTGCCATTGCTAGACGTCGTAAGCATACTTTTCTACGACTGTGCCGGTTGTCGTTCTGGTATGCCGTGGACAACCATAGTTGTTGGTTTCAGCGTTTGGGGTGCCTCGCGAGATACTTTTCTTGCTGACCAAGGGCGGTGTGATCTGGCTCCAATGCTGGATGACCTGTTGATGACTAGTGTGCGTGACATCAGCAAGAATCTTTCCGCTTCTTTAGCCGAGCTTAGGGTAACCCTCGTTGGCGGAGGCTTTCCCTGAGGTGGGTAGTTGCCTTTGTAGAGCCTGCACAGTTTTGCTTCTAGGCTACCCACTCCCAGTGTGGTGCATACGGTTTCCCATTGCTGCTTGGCAAACGATTCTCTGTTCTCAAGGAGACTATCATGGCACACATGGACGTCAAATAAGATGATGGAGTTAGACCTGTCATCAGCTTCTCTATTTTCGTGTACTGTGGGTGGTTTTTTGTGGGAAGGGTGCACCTTCTTCTCCACTATCACCCATTTTTCTCGTTGCACAGTGGGGCAAGCCTCTAAAGTGGCTTCAAGGTTAGGGAAGAATGTAGTTGGTAGCGTACCCGTCATCGTTTTGGTCTTTTCGAACTATTCACCGGTGTGACTGGCCGGGGTTCAGTGCTGACACTCTTGCTGCTTGGGCCCGTGGTAGTGGTCTGTGTGGGTGCCGGCATCACAGTAGTCACTACAATGTCTTTTGCGACCCCCATGAGCGGGCCTTTGGAAAAGAGTGGCCTTATACGGCACTGTGGGCAGATGTAGCAGAACCGCGTGAATGGGTAGAGTGCCATGAAGGCGTAATATTGGTCTAGTATGTCCTCGTCACACTGACTGTGCACCCACTTGTTTCAGATTTTACACTCGAAAGCAGCATCCCCCTGACTACGGTGAGGTCACATGTATGACGGTCGTCAGCTTGACTAGGAGGTTTGATTAACGACTTTCTTCTCCTTCTCTTCAGTCCCAGTGGTAGCCTTCACAGGTAGACTAGGGTTTGGGTTGGTGGCACCAGAAAGACATGCCCGTTGGTGAACCACAGCAGGGACAGGAAGTCGACTTTTCCAGGAGGCGGTCGTTGCAAATATCCTCCTAAGGTCGACCCGTGATCTTTTGCGGCGGCACTAAGCTTTTTGCCTCCGGCCCTCGTTACTACCACTGATGAGAAGGTTGGTAGCTGGGGTGAGGCTTTGCCTGAGATGTTCCTGATACCAGATTTGGTTAGGACTCCATTATTACTCATTTCTAGTGGTGATTAGGGAGATATAAATGAGATACACAGATGGTTGTATCAGGTGAAACGTAGAAAAGCAATGATAGATAAAGTAAGTTGTCAGCCTCACCTAGGATTGCCCAACTGTGCGACACTAAGAGTGCCCAAAGCTTCCCACAGGTCCAAGGTATATGATCGCATGAGATAAGTAGCGCTGTAGCTTCAGCAACCTGAGCCATAGCAGTTGATCAAGGCAGTTAGACCTACCACACAGTTGTCCGTTTGAAGAGTGATAGCATTGACCGACTGAGAGCTATACTTCCTGTAGCCAAACGTTTTTCCAGTGAAATTTAACTTTCGTAGAGGAAATTTCCAAATGAGAGGGCTTATGTACAGTTATTTCCGAGTACAGTACAGACGAGACAAA